GCGCTACACCTCCGGCTAAGCTGGCAGTATGGTCGCTCAGCTGTCGACCGGTCAATGCGCCGTCACGTGGTTGTTTGGTATTTGTTTTCACATTGACCTTTCATAGTTCCCCCGAGAAACCCCGAGCCGAGCTGCTGGGAAAGAACCTTCCACTCCAGCATACGTCACTGCATGGGATTCCTTCCCCGGGGAGTGCAATGAGGAAAAAAAAGTCCGCGGCTCTTCACTCGACGTTTATCCACAAACTTGTCCTGGATTAAGCTCCAAAGTTTTTATCAGTCAGATTCCACCGTGAAAAATGTCTGTTTTATCCCCTTTATGAGTTTTTGGCCATTGACTATCTTTAAATCGCTGCTTCCTGGTACAACAGTCAGCTCTGGAAGGATTGCCTTTTTCTTCTTTTTTTTCCTTTCTTTTTTTGAAGCGAGTGGTTGAAGCAAATGGAGCATAAGAGCCCCCTGGTGGCTGAAGAAAAAAATCCACGTATAAGCCGCACCGGACTATAAGCCGCATGGTTCAAAGTTCAGGAAAAAAGTTGCAGCTTATAGTCCGAAAAATACAGTATGTAAAACTTGTAAGGTGAATATACATGCAAGATTTTTAAAATTTCATTACAAGTATTTGAACATGTGTGACTGTGTATACATCATACCAAAATCAGAGATTTGTATACAAAGATACTCGGCCCCTCTAAAAATATTGTGGTCCCTTAATGGCCCCTTATTCTTAAAAAAATCTTAGATCCGCTACTGGACCTGGGGCCTCATGTACAAAGACTTGCATGGGTTTCTTACTGAAACGTGGCATACGGTCAAATCCAGAAAAAATCCAGATGCATCAAACTGTGCGTACGCCTGAATCCACGCACATTTCTTTTGTACGTCACAATTAACGTGGACCTGAGCGCAGGTAAGACTCCTCCCCTGACACGCCTTCATTAACATATGTTAAACAGATGCAAATCACTTCCTGCATGTGTGAAGGACACRTTTGWKTGATCCCTGTGATCAGAAATGATGTCTAGAGTCAGGAAAATAATGAATTTAATATAATGTGAGTGAGAAAAAAAATCCTAAGTAAAAATAGGAATAAAATATGTTTATCAC